CCTCTAGATCACCATTTAGGAAGGCACATTCTTAACCTCTAATTGATGTAACTGCTAGTCAAAATTGCAACAAGGGAGAGAAGAACATAGATGGAGTTAGTTTTAGCAACTAGAGCAAATGTCTCTGTGTAATCAACTCCCTATGTTTTTTTTTGGGAGAAACCCTTAGACACCAACCTTGCCTTATACATTTCCACTGAACCATTGACATGATGCTTGACTATAAATAGCCACATGGAACCCACATGTCTCTTATCCTCAGGAAGATCAACCAAACCCCATGTGCAATTCTTACTAAGAGCATCAATTTCCTCTAACATAACATTCTTCCACTCGGGACTATTTAGGGCCTTTGCAATAGATTTGGGAACAGAAACACCAGAAATAGCAGAAAGAAAAGAATTATAGGAGGGAGACAAGTTGGCACAAGTAGTGGAGTGACTGATAGAATGTTTAGTGGTGCATGAATGGGTACCTTTACGAACAGCAATAGGAAGGTCAAGATCACAAGTAGGATCACACAAGGAAGCGTTACCTGATTCAATAGGATATGCACTGCTCTTCAGGTTTGCCTCTTGAGGTTCTGCTGATTCAGGAAATGCAGTGTTAGGTACCTCTTCACTTGGTGATGTATGTTGCTCCTATTGACAATGTGGAGGACGAGAATGAGACCTGGACCGAGAGTAAACATGTCGGACATGAACACGAACAGGAGAACGACGAGTAGCAACAAGAGGGACAACATCGGATGAAACAAGAACCAAGGGAACAAGGACATGTTTCTCTTTCTGACAACTATTCTCCCCTTGAGGATAAGCAAGAAAGAAGGATTGAGACTCAACAAAAGATACATCCATAGAAATGAGTGTACGCTGAGAAGTGGTATCGTAACATTTATATCCCTTTTGGGCCAAGGAATAGCCAAGAAAAATACAAGGGATGGAACGAGGGTCAAGCTTACCACGAGATGGGGACAAATCCTGGACAAAATATCGACATCCAAAGGCATGAATAGGAGTTTTGGTAGAGTAATGTGCATTTGCACTCTTAGAGGAGCTTTCCAACCCCACCCCCAATTAGGCTTTAAAAGGTATGCTTTGTAAGGAAAGTGGCTGTGGAAAGTAGGGGAGTAGGAATGGAGGATTTAGCGTAAGGAAACTAAATGGCAGAAGGATCCTATGGGATGTCTATTTGGAGAGAGGCATTTCAAATGTTTCTCAATTTTTTTGTAGCTACTGGCATAGTGAGTTCAAATATAGCGCCACTAGTAAGGTGGTCTTTGTGTGGGAAACTGTGCAAGGTTATCATATGGGAATGCTTTCCTACCCATTTTAGAGGTGTCACTTATAGAGATTGATAGTATTACTGTTTTCCATTCTAGGCTTGAAGTTCATCTTTTATTGTTAAGTGTGGTGGACAAGTGGCATTTGGATGAAGTTCCCATTGTTTGTGATCCTCATCTAAGGTGGAGGTGATGATCTCATTTAGAAGGGCAATTGCTTGTGATCTTCATCTCATTTGGTGAAAGAGATAAAGCTAATCTTATCATTTTGAATATAAGAATTAGGAGGTCCCCATGGAGATTACACCATCTGCTTAATGTCATTAGATTCCTTCTTACCTTGATCCTTGTGTCCTTTGGTTTTCAGATGGATTCCTAGGGAGGATAGTTTCAAGGTGATGAGAGCTTCATATGGTGTTAGGAAGGTGGGGCTGAATAGAAAAAATTGTCAGTTCTGATGGAAATTGAAAAATAAGAAATATGCTGGAAATGTTGAAATTTTGTTATACATTTATTGTAATTTTTTTAACATTGTAAACATTGATATATGAAAATATTTGTTAGTATTTTTTGAACTTATAAAGGACATCCTTTTGAATAATTACATCATTATAAAGTGATGGAAATGATGCCCTTAAAATGATTACATCATTTCAAGATGGCCTCTTCCTCCACTTAGAATAAATTCAAGGGTTTAAAAAATTATTACATAGTGCCTGATGTTGATTATGTTTTGTTTAATATAAAACTTATGTTTTGCATTTAAATATGCTTCTTATAAAATATAAAACATAGGGCTATATTTTATAAAATTATGTATAATTAAAAATATTTCATAAATGAAAATAAGAAAGAAAGAGTCATCTATAATGCTAAACTCAAAAACATAATGAGTTTGAAGATAAATAAAATTATAATAAAACAAATTATTTGGATGGTGTCTATGTACATGTAAATTTTTATCTTGCATTGATATTATTAGCAAAGCAAAACTTTCTTTTGATCATAATTAACAAAGTAAAACTTGTTGAGAACAAGGCAAAAAATTTTAATGCATAAGTCTAAACTGTTTGTGGCTCAACTGTAATTCTGATTCTGTAATGGGGGCTGCATCTTGCGCCTCTGTTTGGATGCTGTTATTGTAACACCTTTTATTGTAAAATTAATGCACAGAGGAATATGTTGACATATATTATTTATCAAAAAAAATATTGAGATATATTCTGGTAATAAATTGTCTTGGTCCCCATGGAAATGGAAATATTAGGAAATATATAGACATTTTTTGGATAAGTATATAGACATTTTGAACAAAGATAGCAACCCCCCTTATTACCAACATAAAGCTTGTACAGCTTTGTCAATGAACATGAGCTCATGTCTTGTACACATTTTTTGATTTTTTTGTCCTTGTATTATAAATATACAGAATACACTGTTACCATTTAAAAAAAAACCTTTTCTAACCTTACCATCTATACCTTAATAGAAAATCCATGCTCCTCACATTGCAGAGAGTTTTTAATTTCTGGCCAATAGTAATAAAATGAAAAATTTTGTATGTGTTTTCAAAAATTTGACTTCATACACGTATTCAAAACTTTCAGGAGCCTATGGAGTTAAGCAGTATTTGATACCCAAAATGCATAGTGATGCTCTTAACTAGTACCATTTTTTCAGTGCAACATAGGAAAATGCCTTCTTTTTGTCTTTGTTGCAACTTCCTGCAGCCTATACAAGCTAGCTTAACTGCTACCTGACAAGGACTAATAAACGCAACTGCTCAAGAACCAAAAACAATAGATTCCCATTCATTACAAAAATCGGAAAATTGCAGTCCATCAAATTCCCCAAGGATGGAGACCCATTCAGTGACAGTTTTTTCAATACAACCAAGCAACACCTGATTCACACAACTTTTGTTCTCAAAAATTCTCTAACTCTGTTCTTACTTAAACAGATGGCAAATGGGTTTAAGTTCCACAGAATGTTCCCTCTTTGCTAAAGCCTCTAGAGGGCCATTGCTCTGCCAAACCTACCAGGTCACAAGGTGTAACCCATTGACCCTTAAAGAGCTTAAGGAAATGCAACCAAATTGTCTTGCTGATAAAAAAACAAAAGAAATGCAACCAAATTGGAAGAGAAAATCTGCAACAAATAAGCAGGTGCTGGACAGGCTCCAAGGAAGAGCCACATATCATGCATTGATTATCAACAAACTTGCCCTTTTTCACGAAGTTGTTGATAGAGGGAGGGAATCTTATTAAAGTAGGCAGTCCAAACATAAAGAGATAGATCTTTGAGGGAATGCTGGGAAATCAAATCCATTTCCATGGGAAGAAAGGAGAATGCTAACCTGCTAGTGCAATGAAAAAGGATTTCACTGAAAATAGGCTGCTTAGAACTGATAAAAAAAGGCTGTTCAGATGCAATCTCCAATTTTCTTTTTTCAAAACTACCATAACCTGCTTATCTTGCAGTCTATTGAGCATTATTTTGGATAGTAAAAATATCATTGAAAGAGAAGTGAGTACAAAAATAGGTGATAGCTAGAAAGGGAAAGGAAAACAACAAATTCCCCAATTACTCCTGACAGTCACCCTCCATGGTCATTTCCTAAAGCATAAATCAGAACTACATATAATAGAGACTCAATTTGCATTTTGCAAATCTGGTGGAACAAACAAGGATCACTGCTAACAGAGTTCAGCACTCTGGAGTCTGGACTCTCTCAGATCAAGGCCCACAACCTACACTTAGCAACCAAAATCACTGCCAACTCTCACTTTGAAAGTATCTTTTAATTTGGATTTCTGTGTCAACCACATCTCATCCCATTCTTCTTGTAATACCACAAATTGAACATGGTTACAAACAAATCTGGTTCCCATTCATTCACATTTCTCTGAAGCCAAGGAACTGGTACCACCTTACCTGCTACCATCTTATTCACATTTCAACAAGAGGCATTTCGTTACTTCAAGGGATGATGCAACTAGGTCTCTAGGTCTTGCTGCTCTTAAGCAGGGCTGCAGGAGCTTGTTGGGGGAGAGAAGAACCTTCTATAAAAGCATGCCTAGCCATGGATGAAAAGAATCTCTAGTTTCTGCAAATTTTGCTGAGCCTGATTTTCTTTCTATTGACTTACTTTTTTTTTCCCGGAGGAAGTGGACTGTCCTGTCTATCATTCTTGTTGCTCATCTTTTTTTCCACTTGTATTCTGGGCCATCGTATCCAGGATGTTTGGACTCTTATGATTTGAGTTGTCTGTGGTGTTTTTTGCTGGTTTTTTTTTTTTTTGGGACTGGTCTTGTATTTTGGTATCTTGTCTCTTCTGCAGTCTCTTCTGTTGTTATAATTTGACAAAGGGCTCTATGAAGCTGAAAGTTTCAAGAACTCCTAGATATGGAAATAGAAGTGCCTTATTCGTATGAATGTTCTTGGGAAAACAAGATTATGAAATGAGGGAACTCCAAAGGAGGGCATCTATTTTGAACTCAACCTCTGGTGTATCACTTTTCTGTTTGGACTAACTTTAGATTTTTCTTTCCTTTTTTCTTTTTCTATTCGTTTTCATATTTGAAGTGTGATTTAACCATGTTTTAAATATTATACATCAAATAGAGTTTCAATGGGATGAATGCTCAAAATTATGCTGTTATCATAGTTGACTCTATTCCTTGTTTGGGAAATTTTACTTCATTCATTGCACTTTTAGCGCATTACAAAGCAAAGCAGATGTTCGCAATCTAGAGGAGACCTTGGTTGCCTGTCTGGAAAGGATATTTGGAACAAAGTATGGTGCCTCACTTATCCCACAGTATATGGTGAGTATAATGTAGCTTAATTCTTTTGTTTGGTTACAAATAAACATAGTTTTGTAAAATATAAAAGGTATTCAAACAATACAGAAGTATTAAAAAAAGTGCTGCATAACCAGAACCCAATTACACCCAGACATTTCCACTAAAAGAGCACATACATCAGAAGAGCCTTTTGATTCAACATAGTAAGGCAGTTACCTAATGCTGGTCCCAACTATCTCAGCAGTCAGCACCAAACTGCCACAGGCTCATCCCTACCACTGAAAAACAGAGCAGGCCACCTAAGTTTCACTGACAAAATAAGTAAGAACACTTATCCTCAAATGCTTTCCAAGACTGCACCATAACCCGGAAAGCTTGTATTTCTTTTTAGAATGAGTAAAGTATATTGTTTCTATATTGAGTAAGAAGTATTCCAGTACAGAAAGGAACTGTACAATGCGGAAAGCTTCAATTTGATTTTTTTTTTTTTTAATTTTACTGCTATTATTTAGTGTTGGTGAATGGAACAGTGGTGGACCTTTTCCCTGCTATTCAAGGAATTAGAATAGTGACCCACTCTCTCCTTTTCTTTACCCTCATTGCAGATGCTCCAAGTAGATTAATAAGGCAGATTTGAGACAATTAGTGAGAGGGTGGAGAATAGGCAGGGACGATGTGCCAATAACCCACTTATAATTTGTAGATGATACAATTCTTTTCTGTGAAAGAGGATATCTGAGGTGGGTAAGGAATCTGAAATTAACTGTATAATTCTTTGAACAAATGTCCGATCTCAAAGTAAATTTTGGTAAGAGTTGTATAGCAGGGATCAACTTGACGGAAAGAGAGATTTTGGAGTATGCAACTAGTGTGGGGTGTGCTGTTTCTCACTTCCCCATGAAATATTTAAGTTTACTCCTTCGAGGTAACCCAAAAAATCTGAGTTTTTGAACTGTGTTGGAGAGATTTTCTAAGTGGCTAGCTTGTTGGAAAAAAAGGTACCTCTCTTTAGGTGGCAGGATTATGTTAATCAGATCTATTCTAGCTAACCTCCTAATTTACTATTTGTCTATGTTCAAGACCCTTGGAGGTGTGGTCAAGAGATTGGAGAAGATGATGAGGGATTATTATTTTTTATTTTATTTTTTTGTGGGAGCCGGGGAAGATGAGACAGATCATAGGGTTAGATGGGATTTAGTGTGTAAGATTAAGAGTTATGGTGCGCTTGGTATTGGGAATATTCAGAAGAGGAACGGGGTTCTATTGGGGAAATGGTTATGGAGATTGCCCCTTGATAGGGATAAGTTGTGGATGAAGGTGGTGTTGACTGTTGAGCATACATGGGCTGTTGGCAAATGGTTGGGAATTTGGGATGCTGGATTCTTGTTAAGGGCAACCCAAGCCTCTCCTGGAAGGTCATTCATGTTATATTACCTTTTTTCCTCTCTTATCTTAGGTACGACCCTTGTTCTGGGGAACACATTAAATTTTGGGAACATGTCTAGGTTGGGAATTCCCCTCTTAAAGAGCAATTCCCTTATTGACAAAAAAAGAGCAATTCCCCTCTCCTTTTGCACTTTTTGACCTAGAAAATGAGCTGATTTCCTCCTTTATTGTTCATTCCAATTCAAGTTTTTGGGTTCATTGGGATTTGGGCCTCAGAAGGGGTATAAAGGGTTGTAAGCTGAATAGCATTTTGACTTTAATTCAAATCCTTGATGGTGTGTGTTTGGATCCTTTGTTGGTAATAGAGTATGGACCCTCTCTTTCTCTGGTTCTTTCTTCTATGCTTATTTTTTTAGGTCTTTAACTTTATCTAATTCTAGCAGTGAACCTTTTTCTTTCAAGGAGGTTTGGTGTAATCCTATTCTACCACAGATTGGAGTTTTTTTCTGGGAAGCTATCCATGGAAGAATTAATACCTATGGCCTACTTTAGAGAAAGAGCACTAATTGGTGCTTATTGTCTCACTGGTGTATACTGTGCAAGGCCAATGGTGAGACTTGCTATCACTTATTAATCTCCTATCCTTTTGTTTTATGTTTTTAGGTATGGTTTTCCTTGTTTGGGTGTAGATGGAATCCCTCGGCTGATGTGTGAAGTTTATTTAACTCTTCCTTCTTCGGTGGGAAAAGAAAAGGGGAAGGAGTATTTGGAGGTCTACAAGGGCTGCTATTTGTTGGACTATTTGGGAAGAAAGGCATGCAAGAATCTTCATGGACAAGGAGAGAAGCAAAGAAGCCATCATAGAGACTATTACAATTAGACTGGTCCATTGGCTGCAATCTTTGGACTCCTTTTCCACCGTCTCAGTGAATGACATCATTTCAAACTGGAAGGAAGTGACAAATATTGCCCTAATTAAGAATATCAGTATTCCTACTGGGTCTCCACCAGAAAGAGGATTTGTTAAGCTCAATTTTGCTGGAAGTAGTTTGGGTAACCTGGGCATGTCAGTAATAGGAGTGTTTAGGGATGAAGAGGGAAAAATATTGGTATTTTATTTTGGCTCAATTGGAGTAGGAGATTCCCTAAGAGATGAAATTTTGGCTTTAATTGAAGGAATAAAGCGGGCAAGATCTCTGAACATTGGAAAATTAGTTATTGAAAGGGATTTCAAATTGGTTGTGGGATGGCTACTAAGTGAAGAGGCAAAACTATGGAGTTATAACAATGAAAGGAAGAAATTCAAATGGTTCACACAAAATGTGGAACTGAGAGTTTGATGGATGAGGTCAGTTGTTTTGGGCACAGGTAAAAATAAGAAAAGTTGTTTCAGGGAGAGATAAGAGGGCTTATCTCTCACTGCTTCTGTATCTTTATTGTACTCTTGAGCTTCATTCTTAATATTAATGATTTTTTCAGTTACTGATAAAAAAGAATCTCTATGGACTTTGGCCCTATTGCTTCCCTTAATACATTGGTTCTAGACCCTTTTCCTCTTGTGCTGGGTCATCTTGGTGAAATGGGATAAGTTTGCAGACCTAATAAGTTGGGAGGATTGGGTATAAGGAGAAATAATGATCTAAATAAAGCATTATTAGGCAATGGTGACAGAGATTTCGGAGTGGGAGAGGTGCCCTTTGGAGAAAAGTGGTGCTATGCAAGTATGGGGTGGTGAGATTTGAATGGTATACTAAAAAGGTGACATCTTCATATAGGGTATTCATGTAGAGAGAGACTATGAAATTCTAAGCAGAATTTGCCAGATATTCTAAGTTCATGGTGGGGGAAGGATTGGAAACAACCTCTTTGTATGTTCAGGGGTAAGGCTGCATACATCTGTCCCCCCCAGACCCTGCATTGACGGGAGCCTCGTGCACTGAGCTGCTCTATGGTGGTGGGAAGGAACTAGGGTGAGCAGGATAGAGTTTCTCAGGTAGATAGTTGTGTTGAAAGAGAGAAAGGTGATAATACACATTTGGTTGGGGCTACCCAGGTTAATTTTATACATTCTGGAATGTCTGATTTTGCTAGTGAAGGATTGTATCTCAGGGACATTTACTAAATTATCATTGGAAGGCTGGATAAGGACCTAAGTTGCAAAAGGATTGTGATTAGTGAAGGTGAAGATTCTGCAGAGGATAGGAGAAGGGACATAAATGTTGTCTTATCAAAACGACCAAAAGGGACAAATAATTTCCAATTAGTTCATGTAACAGAAGTCTTTTGTTTCTTGAAAAGTTGTATTTATGGGGCAGGCCCATGTAATAATTTTTTTTTTTGGTAATAAATAAAAAAGAAAATTCATTTAGATAGAAAAGAGGACATAATTATAAGAGGCTGATAATGAGTCCCACAAATCAAGGAAAAAGAAATAACACAAAACTCCCAAAAGCTCACCATCCCTTTCTAGCCCTCCAAATTTAACTCCCCAAATCAGAACCCAATTGTGTGAGTTGTTTGGCTTGGTTGTCAGCAATGTAGCCTCCCTAATACAGTGTTAAAGTGTCCATGGAGCATACAAATCTTCTGTTCCAAAATCATTAGCTCAGTAGCTTCCTTGTAACATTTTTCCTATGATGCATTCACTTTACACCATTCAAATCATCATAGTGGTAAACATTCTGTAATATGAATCACAGATTTATTGATTTATGCTTGATGATGTTCCTAGGAAGGCATATTTGTTACATTTAATGACTTTTATATCCTTTTCTTTTCCTGCAGTCCTTTGTAAAAGTTGGTTTGCTTGCAGACTCTCAAATTGTCAGATGCTTAGCCTGTAAAACAGTACGTATGGACCAAAAAAGCTTATGTAACCGTATATATTATTGAGTTTCCTTATGGTTAAGCGTTTATTTTTTTAATCTGGTATCTTGGAATATGACTAAATGGGTTTGTTGTTGACCTTGTGACATATGCTTTTCTTTTATAGTTGAAACTCCTGAAATGTTGTCTTGGATTTCTTCTAGGTGTTAAGAATGGTTTTTGTTGATTTCTATTTAAAATTCATGGAACGGCAATTTTTTGATAAACAACCAAGAGTTTTATTAATATAAACAATAATGCACAGAGGATTATAAAGGGTAAAGATACCCCAAGATAGGGGTGAAATTCATGGAACAGTAATTGAGTGGTTAAATGTTTGAATAAAGAAATCTATTGGAATTGCTAGTTGTATTTTGAGTAGTGCTTTGTCAGGGTAACTATTGATTATGAAGTTGAAAAGCTATTGCCATTGTTCACAGAACAGGGGTATTTTAGTCATTTGGGTGTATCTATGTGAGAGTGAAAGGTCTGTTTTATTCAGGTCTAAGTTGTGTGCCCCATCACTTATGAGGGGCAATATAGTCTTTCTTGTAACCAAACTTATTTTGAGATAAATACAAGTGGGTTGATTAGAGAGGATAGATTTCCCTCATTTGGCCGAACCCTTCTTCTCCTCCTTCTTCTTCTCTACTTCAACCTAGAATCAAATAGGGGTTTTACATGGTATTAGAGCAATAAAACCTAGTTCTCTTTTCCCTTTTTTTCTTCTTTCCTCACTGTTTGTCTTCTTCCTAGGTTCATCGCCAACCATTTCAGCTTTCTTCAATTTTCTTCTAGCCTGAGTGGAAACTTGACAAGAGGCCAAAAAGGAGTGGTCTTTTTGTGGTTTTGGAGGTGAGTATGCCTCCGGTTACTGTGGTGGTGGTCGTTGAGGTGGTGTACTAGATGCCCTCTATTCTGTGATACGAAGAGGGCTGTTTGTGGACAGGTATGAACAGTTTTGTTTTTCGCCCAAATAGTGGACTGTAAATGCTGTATTTTGGTTCAAAATTGTAGAGAACACTGATGTGGGCCCCACAGCTGTGGTCCCACTCTGTCCGTAGGGTAGAATGTACCTAGTCTTCCTAGGGTTAGCTGCTGTTATTCTAGTTGCTGCTGTTATTCTAGTTGTTACTTTTTTTTCAGTTTTACATTATTATGTGTTATGTAAATACCAAGGGCAGATGTGTCCTTTCATGTAACTAGCATAATCTATAAATATTAAATAGAAGTGGCGGCGGCAGAATGATTGAGATTCTGTCCTTCCTTCCAAAGTTTGTGTTCTACTGCTCTCTCACCACTCTTTCTCCTCTTCCCTCTATACTTTCTCTCCTCTCCAAATTTGAAATTTATTAGTGCTCAAGACTGCTATAACAACTACATGGTATCAGAGCCAAGTTAGGGTTTCTCATGTGAGTCTAGTACCAGTCGACCACATGAGAATCTCCTAGGACTGGAAGCTGAAAAGGTGGAGTTCGCAGACTGATTCTTGGAGATCGCTAGAAGGGCTAGCAGCTGTTGAAGGCTTGTCACGGTTGCAAAGTGTTGGTGGTTAGGAAGGATCAGAGAAGACTAGGGTTCGGGTAACCTTGGAAGGCGGCGAACACTTTTTCCTTGTAAGTTCTTTATTTTCTAAGAGAAGTTCTATCAGAGAAGATAGATTGGATCTATCTGGAGAGGGCGGCCGAACCATTATAGGGTTTTCTCCCTTCGATTCTCTAGGGTTTTACAGCAAACCCTACTGTTGGGCTGAACTGCCTTAGCTTTGTTTCTCTCTGCTCTAGGGTTAGAAAGTGAACCTTGCGATCTACCTGGAGCTGTCCCCAAGTTTGTTGTTAGCATTGATCAGATTCTAGGRTTTCATATTAACCCTACTGCAAGTCTATCTATACGGTACTGATTGGATTGTGCAACTGAACTGTGCACTTTAAGGACTGGTTAAAACCCTAATTCTGCCAAGCATATCAGACTTACTTCCAAGCTTTTTTCAGAGTCTTTTGGGGTTTTCAGACTCTCTTAAGGGGTGGGAACCCTACGGACAGCTGCTGTTGTGCTTGCTAGTTGGTTTCAGATTAGAGTTATCCCAGTTTTGTGCACATACACTGTGAATACAGATCGGTTCTGCACTGTTGTTGATTGTGATTGGTAGTCCAAGTGCTGTTTTTGAGACTTGATCGAGATGGAGTTTAAAAATCAGGCAGAAGGCAGCTTTGGGAACATCGGTTATGGTGGTGTTTCTGAGACGGGTGGTCAGATTACAACCGTAAAGTTTGATGGATCAAACTATTTGGAATGGGCCCAATCAGCCGTGATGGCTATTGGGGG